TGGGTTTGGTGGGAAAGAAATTACAGGATGCACTTGTGGATCATTTGGATCCTGAGCTTGACTGCATTCTGTTAATTTTTACCCCCTCAGCCTTCTCCTACAGGAGTATTAATGCAGATGGAGGATATTAACTTAGAATGGATCTTTTTACCACATAAACCAAATGAAAAATTAAAAACTTATGTGAAAAAGGTCTCAGAGTTAATCCTAAAAAGAAAACTGAGACTTCCTCAATTATCAGGAATAGACCCTTTTACTAATTGCAGTAAAATTGTGAATTGCAGAAATTGTACCTTTTACTAATTAGGAAATTGACAAATTAGAGGTATAAAACGAACACTGGCAAAGAGCTTGTAGTAATTTTTGGGGGGGAGAGATTAACAACAAATATCCCAAAAGCAAGAGAATTCAATTTATAAAGAGAATTAACTGGATCCTTCCTCACATTGTATGAGGAATGCCAATATCTGGAGCCCCTACAATGATGCAAGTAAATCAGCAAATTTAAGTAAAGTGGATCTAAGTCCTTATAATTCTGTCCAAAAGTCAGAATTATATGCTATTCTCATTGTGTTAATGGACCATAAGGAACCTTTCAACATAGTTGCTGATTCACAATATGCAGAAAGAATTGTTTTACATATTGAAATTGATGACTTTATAACAGATGATACAGAATTAACTTTGTTATTTATTCAGTTACAAGAGATAATCAGAAATAGGAATCATCCCATATATAACACACATCAGATCACATATGGGTCTGCCAGGTCCTCTAGCAGAAGGTAATGAAGAAATTGATTGGTTATTAATAGAAAGTATTCTGCAGGCCTACAAAAACACCATGTTAATAACAAAGGCTTAAAAAAAAGATTTTTCCTTCACTTGGCAACAATCCAAGGAAATTCTAAAAAAAAAAATGTCTTTCTTGTTCCTTCTATAACCAAACTCCTTTATCTACAGGAAGCAATCCTAAATGTATGCATAGAAATGAAATTTGACCAATGGATCTGTTGCATTTTGCAGATTTTGGAAAATTAAAATATGTACACCATACAGTAGACCCATTTTCAGGATTTCAATGGGCAACTGCTTTGAGCTCTGAAAAGGCTGATTCCATAATTATACACCTCTTAGAAGTAATGGCTATTATGGGTATACCTGCACAAATTAGGACTGACAATGATCCAGCATATGTCTCTAGTAAAATGAAACAGTTTTTTTGCATATTATAATATAAAACATATTACAGGAATATTACACAATAGTACAGAACAAGCAGATGTTGAAAGATCTAATTGCACTCTAAAAGAAATGCTTAATAAACAGGTAGGGGGAACCAAGACCCTCCCAAAGGTAGATTACATAATGCCTTATTAATCTTGAATATTCTTTTTTTTTTACAAGTCTAAGCCACATTTATTTGCACATATATAGTAATGGGCAACAGATACTCCAAGTCCATACAAATTTATAAACAAAGTTAGTGATCACTTGGTACACTTCTGAATAGTTTACATAGTCAAGCCTAGATGAGCTTCCTTCATTGTGTAAACTTCCATACAATACTTCCTTAAACAAAAATTCTTGAAAACATATACTGGCATGTTTCAGTTATAGTCAACAGAAAAGACAAGACCACAAATTCAAAAACCAAGTTCAGAAGATACTTTTACCGCTCCCCCCCACCACCCAGGAGGTGATAACTATGACAGATTTATACACTATGTTGTTATCACACAAGTAGCTGTGAGGACAGAGAATGATGTTCCCATAGCCATGAAATGACAACCAAATTATGCTGTTTAAGTTATCTACCAACTGAATGGTTTAAATGAAAAACAGGAAAATGCTTAGATTAAAATAGTAAGATGGGAAATAATTAAATGTTTAAAAAGAACTATTCCTCGTCAAAGCTGTAAAGACCTGGTAACTCAAAATAACTGTTATCAGGCAAATCCAAGTGATGAAACTTTCAAAAACATTCTAATTATGTTCAGTATCTTGTGACAAACTGAAAATGATATAAAGATATTTATTATACAAGTGTTAACAAGGACATCCCAAAAATAATGAAAGATGCACATTTATTTCTACAAAAGCAATGTATGGTACAGAACATAAAGGAACAATTTAAAGATTTACCTATTAAAATATACAGATTCTGACTGAAGAGTAATAGGGTATTTTAAAAAGATGACAAGGGATGTTAATCTTTTTTTATTATTATTATTTTTACATATTTTGGAACCTCACATAATTTTGATAAATAACTCTTAGAAAATTACGCAAAAAGTACAAGAATGTCTGGTAAACAAACAGTCTGTATTTTCCAAAAAGAATTTTTACAACATGCAATTCTTAAGGCAGCATTCCCCCTTACAAGGTAACCCTTTTACTCATCAAATCTTCTGCTGCAAATAGGCTAAGAAAGCCTGGCTTCTTCCATTAACGCCTTTTGTCTTTCCTGTCTGATTTTCGGTCTCTTTCACTTCTTGAAGATCTTTTGTCTGATCGGCTACTTTCTGATATAGACCCTTTTCTGTCAGATCGGGAATTCTTATCCTTTGATCCTTTTGTATCTCTACTACTACCACCTATGGAAGATTTGTGACTTCTTTCTAGTCCTGAAGTGTCCCTTCGCTTCCGGTCCATGCTCCTCCTGTGCTTTCTATCTCGGTTATGTCCTCGGCCCCTACTGCGACTTCTACTGTCACTGCTACTGCTAGTGCTGCTGCTGCTGTCTCTGCTGCTGCTCCCACTGGTGCTGGAACTGCTACTTGAACTGCTCCCACTGCTGCTGCTGCTGCGGCTGCTACTCTTACTTGTCTTATTTGTTGCTCGACCTCTGCTTCTGCTCCTAGTTTTGTTTTTATTTTTGTTTTCTGAATGTACTGTCAAGACTGGCTCTACAGGCATCTCAGGGAGTTTTATAGACTCTATAGGAAAATCCTTCCGCTCAGGCAGTAGATTCCCTTGCTCCTGAATAACCTGAGGTGGAGGCTGCAAAACTGCTAATGGCAAAGTCTCTGGCTGAGTAAGAGGCTGGGACTGGAGCACAGGTTGGGGCTGAGAGTGGAGCTGAGGTGGAGCTGGCTCTGGGGCAGGGGCTGAGGTGGGGGCGGAAGCTGAGCCTCTTTACAGCCAGTTGAAATTTGAACCAAATCTTGAATATTCTTAATTTTTTTTTTTTTTTTTTTTTTTGGTTTTTCGAGACAGGGTTTCTCTGTGGCTTTGGAGGCTGTCCTGGGACTAGCTCTTGTAGACCAGGCTGGTCTCTAACTCACAGAGACCCGCCTGCCTCTGCCTCCCGAGTGCTGGGATTAAAGTCGTGCGCCACCAACACCTGGAGAATATTCTTAATGTTAATGAGAAAGGAACAACACCTGCAGAGAGACATTGGACAACAGAAAAAAATCTTTGAGTCAAATCAGCCTGTGTACTTCAAAGATGTGTTGACCTCAGAATGGAAACCAGGATATGTGTGCTATGTTTGGGAAGGGGTTTTGCTTTTGTTTCCACAGGAGAAGAAAACTATGGATACCATTAAAATTAAGATTCAATTTGAACAGGAAAGACCCTACATAAGGAGAAATAGCTCATCTACCAATGTGACAATCCTACAATTGTAAGGAAAACTCATCAAACAAGGGTCAGGGCAGGGGTCTGTTTTGTCTTTACAGGAGAATAGAAATGCCCATATCAGACAAAAATCAAAAGGCCTTGGACATCTAGACGTCTAAAGGAGAAAGAAAAATGGTCCAGAAAAAAATCACAAGCAAAGAAAGCTTTGATCCATGATGCCTAAACATCAATATCTTAATTCTCAGTATATCGGTTGTCCTGACTCAAATAAAAATCAAAGCTGGGCTGGAGTGGATGGCTCAGCTGTTAAAGGCTAAGCTCACAACCAAAAATATAAAAATCAAAGCTGATTTTGGAGTTGGAGCAGAGCTGTCTCCTTTTCTAAATCCAAGCATGTTATTAAAAGAAAAATTCAGAGTTTCTGCCTCACATCAGAAGAGTCACCTGGTGTGGAAGAAAAGCAAAAATTTTAGGGACTACTGCTGTCAAAACTCTATTATCTCCTCCAACTTTTTTTCTCTTCATAATTATTTTCATCTTTTTGGTACCTTTCTTTGGATATATATCTAAAATTTAAACTTTCCATTTTGATGTTAATAATGTTTTAAGTTCTTCACAGCGAACAATAAATTATAACAGCAATCTCTGAAGTCTCCAGAAGGAAGATGGCGCCCCACAAAAGTGACTCTGCCTCGTTCATAATGATGACATTGAGCCTATAAACATCACTCTGAGATTGGCTTTGGACTACAAACTGTTCTAGATAATTCCAAATTGGCTAGTTGAGATGGTCCACCTTCTTACAACACTCTAGCCAGGACTTCAGATTAGAATTTGAGATATGCCTTACCCACACTACTCAGAGACTGGCTACAAAGTTACAGCTAGTCCGCATGAAACTTAACCATTGGTTTAGTTTTTTACAGGATCCCATAAGAGATACTGTTGCGATTCTAAGAAAACAATGCCCCTCTCCCAACAGATTTTGTTTTCTCAGGGTTATGGATAATTGTCTTCTGTTGGGAGCTGATTATAAATTGTAATAGGGTTGGGGTGGAACAATGACGTTTTGATTCAGGAATCTCATTTGGAAAAGGAAAAGGGAATAGATAGGATAGGATAAGGTAGATTAGTGTATGTGCTTATAAACTATTTTAGCAAATATTAGTTTTAGACAATTTACATTGGTATAGATTCTTGTATATTGATACATATGTAAAATTATTTTTGTATTCCTGCCTAAGGTAATTTGTATATTGACACAAATTCAAAGTTATAGTTGTCATATTGTGTATGTTCCTATTTCTATTTGCAAAGTTTCTGTTCACAAATGTAAAATTAAGTATGTATGTTTCTACTTCTGCTTAAGATATTTTGTATATTGATACAAATTAAGAATATTTTTGGATTTTAACATGGCAGCCTCCGCTGTGGGCCGAGCAATGGCGCTGCGTACTCGTGGTGGTCAGCATGTTGCTTTTATCAGGAGAATTCCTTGGACCCTGGCGAGTGAGCTGAGAAAACATTTTGCTCAGTTTGGCAATGTAAAAAAGTGTAATGTACCTTTTGACAGACAGACTGGCTTTCACAGAGGCATGGGTTGGGTTCAGTTTTCTTCAGAGGAAGAACTTCAGAATGCACTACAACAAGAAAATCATATTATTGATGGACTAAAGATGGATGTTAAAGCTGGGAAACAAAGGGTTTTGCAAAGGGCTCAAACATCTGATGAAGACAGAGACTTCTGAGATGATTACTGTACTACCCATTAAATAAATATAACTGGAAAAAAAAAGAATATTTTTGTTGGGCTGTAGGTTAAGAGCACTGACTGCTCTTCCAGGAGTCCTGAGTTCAATTCCCAGCAACGACATGGTGGCTCACAACCATCTGTAATGAGATCTGGTGCCCTCTTCTGGCTTGCAGGGACACATGCAGACAGAACACTGTATACATAATAAATAAATAAATCTTTAAAAAATGATATCTTTGTTATATTGCACTATACATTTCTACCTCTGATTAAGATATTTTTATGCAGCCTAGTCTACAAGAGCTAGTTCCGAGACAGCCTCCAAAGCCACAGAGAAACCCTGTCTTGAAACCCCCACCCTGCAAAAAGATATTTTTATACATTGTTACAATTTTGAGGTCATTATCCTCATGCTACACATCTGTTTAAAGACTATTTTTATATTGTGAAGCTTTAGTCTTTAAGCTGTGTAGGTCATTAAGAATTACAGGTTAGCTGGGTTGTGTTGGCACACACTGTTAATCCCAGCACTCGGGAGGCAGAGGCAGGGGGGTCTCTGTGAGTTCGAGGCCAGCCTAGTCTCCAGAGCAAGTGCCAGGATAGGCCCCAAAGTTACACAAAGAAACCCTGTCTCGAAAAACCAAACCAAACAAAAAAGAATTAGATGTTAACAGTCACACATGTTTGCCATACTTACACTTGCATTAGGTTCTCTAGATGCACAGAGATGTACTCCACATAGGTAAGTAATCTTCAAACACTTCAAAGACCTACAGAAAATGTCATTTAAATGTTTTAATAGGGGGCTGGAGAGATGGCTCAGAGGTTAAGAGCACCAACTGCTCTTCCAGAGGTCCTGAGTTCAATTCCCAGCAACCACATGGTGGCTCATAACCATCCCTTATGAGATCTAGTGCCCTCTCCTGATGTGCAGATATACATGGAAGTAGAATGTTGCATACATAATAATTAAATAAAGTCTTTTAAAAAATATTTTAATAACTTAGAGTCCTGTTGATGTGAGACATGACTGCTCCTGGCAGCACTGAACTACTCCGAAGAAAATGATGGGCAGAGAAGACACTCCATATGGAGCTTGCTTTCTTCTTGGCAAACTGACTTATCAGGCAAAGAACTGCCCTTGCCTAGACTGCTGACAGTAACCATGCTGTCTAATCTGGACAAGCAGGACGGAAGGAAAAGGAACTGCTGAAACTTGCCAAGACAGGGTAGGACAGTCTTCTGAATCTTCCTGCTTCTGAAATGGTCTGTCAGATATTCTAGGCCTATAGCCAAAGTTGGTTGCCCCAACATTTCAGAGAGAATTTGGGTGACCGTCCAGGAGCCAGCTGTTTCTGTCAATTCTTATACCTTTTGGAAGTCGCTTGCTTATGCTTCCTACTTATTCAGGTAATATTATTTTCCTTCTCAGATCTTTGATGGGGCTGAAGACTAGATGGTCAGAATTACTATTTTCTCTTATCTTAGCTAAGGTATCTTAGGGACAAGACTTAGACTCTTCAGGATAGGACTGCTATTTGGAACAATCTGTTATTTGCCAATTATCTATAACTGGGACATTTAGTGTGTGTTTCTTGCTTGATGCTTTTGTTGGTTTTAGTTCTGCTTTTTATCCTTTTTGATTGTTTGTTTGTTTGTTTTGTTTTTTTTCAAGACAGGATTTCTCTATGTAACTGCCATGGCTGTCCTTGAACTGACTCTGTAGACCAGGCTGGCTTTTAACTCACAGAGATCTGCCTACCTCTGTCTCCCAAAAGCTGGGATTAAAGTTGTGCGTCACCAACACCTGGCTGTAGTCAGGTTTTTGTGTATGTTATTACCCTTTCTCCTGGACAATACTTGATAATTGTGGGTTGTTATTTTTTTGAGACAGGGTTTCCCTGTAGGTTTGGAAGCTGTCCTGGAACTTCCTTTGTAGACCAGGTTGGTCTTGAACTCACAGAGATTTACTGTTGTCTTCCTCCTGAGTACTGGGATTAAAGGCGTGTGCCACCACCTCCTGGATAATTGTTCTCATTGTATATAGTTTGGTTTAGAACCTTCTTATTTAGACAAAAGTGGTCAGTGTAGTGGAAAATTGCTCCATCCATGGCCTTGGGTTATCTGACCCATAGAAGTGGTGGTTCTTGTCTGCCACAGGACCCCCTTTAAAGGAGAGAAGGGGTAGTCTCACTCTTGCTCTGGCTTGTGCTTGGTGTAGTCAAGTGGCAGAGAGGCAATGCAGGATCAGTGGTGGCTGGATCAGCATCAGCTTCTGCTTTGTATGCTCGAGTTTGTCTTTCCATTGTGCCACTTAATAAATTGGTTAATATACTTTTTGTAAATTCTTACTTCAGGGGGATATAGATATGATAGGATATAAAGGTAGATTATTGAATCTACTCTGAAAAGGAAAAGAGGGGAATATAGAATGTGGTGGTATTTTGTTTCTTCTCTAACAAATAAAGCTTGACAGATGGGGCTGGAGAAATGGCTCAGAGGTTAAGAGCACCAACTGCTCTTCCAGAGGTCCTGAGTTCAATTCCCAGCAACCACATGGTGGCTTAAAACCATCCGTTATGAGATCTGGTGCCCTCTTCTGGTGTGCAGATATACCAGAATATATGGAAGCAGAATGTTGTATACATAATAAATAAATAAAATCTTTTTAAAAAGACACACATACAATCAAATGTTTTTTTTTTTAAAAGCTTGCCTGAAAATCAGAAAGTGGAGCTAGACATTTGTCCCGAGCGCTGTATGTTCTCCCGGCAAGAAATACACGCAGGACACTCGGATCCTTCTGCAGACAAGCTTTAATGCATCTTGAGAGTTGGGAGAGCATAAGCTTACCAGAGCGGAGACTCTGAACTAAGAAACCCATCCCTTAAAAAGGCTGGCAAGCAGCCGCCTGGGACGTGTTACCCTATGAATGGCTTCAGCTCCTCAGGCCAAATGAGCCACGGGATAGGCAGAGATCAAAGGAATGGAGATTACCCAGCGCCTGTGAAGTAATTTACATCTTGGTGTCTTCAGGCACCATTATTGTAATGGAGAATGCAGGAACCGGCTCCCTACAGACATTAGCTAACTATAAAGGTCTGGAGGTCTTTACAGACAGACAGGAAGTGATATGGCTGTGGGGGAGAGAGGAGCTCTTCTTGGCTGGGAAGTTGAGAAGGTGAGATGTGGCTCTGGCTTGCTCTTTTGTCTCTCTGATCTTTCAGCATTTACCCTTATATCTGACTCCAGGATTTTATTATTAAGACCTATTAGAATTCAAGTGCAATAGAAATAGGATAAAATGGTAAATTATTGAATCTACCTTTAAACCAAAATAGCAACTACTAGTCTTAAATATTTTACATTGGTATGGATTTTGGTATACTGATACAAATTTAAGATTATTTTTCTTAGAACATACTGTATATACGTTTCTAATCATGGCCAAGGTATTATACCTATACAACTCATTTAACAAGCTAATGCAAGTTTTTAGCCCTTGAAAGTTATTATCACCAACTATTTAGGATAATAAGGAAATGCAGGTTAGCAATTAGTCATTTATTACAATTGAACAGTTGTATTGGTATGTTTTCAAGGTCAAACATATTTTAGATAGATAGGTCATCTTCAAAAACCTCAGAGTTCTATAGAATATGGCATTTTAGATGTTTTAATAACATTGTTTTTTTTCTTTTTTTTATGACAATGAGACATGTCTGCTCCTGGCAGCACCAATCTACTTGGTGATGGGCATCGAAGAAACTCCACATGGAGTTTACCTTCTTTGTGGCAAAACTAAGCCACTGGGCAAGAAAGTGCCATTGCCTCCACTGCTGACAATATGTTGTCCAAATTGGACAAGCAATACACTAAAGAAAGGAATGCCAAACTTTGCCAAGACAAGGTTGGGATAGCCTTTAATCAGGAAAAACAGTGATATATGATAGACCCGTAGGCTGTCAGGATCAGCCAACCTGTGGAACGTGCCTGAAAAGGGGAGTGAGGTTCTCCAAAGGAAAGAGACAAAAGACAGAAGATAAAGTAGGAGGGCTCTCAGTGAGTACAGTAGATGCTTTGAATAAATTTCTCATACCCCTTTTATACTCAAAGCAAAAAGGGACTGCAAAAGACTTCATTACCATGATGCAAAGAACAAACAAGCATAATTACCTCCTTGTTTAATCAAAACATCTAGTAAACATGACCTAAGTCAAACATCTTATTATTTGGTCTTGAAGAACAAGACATCAAGCAGCCACACCTTTGTTCAGACATCCTGTTATTTGGCCTTGAGGAACAAGGATAAGTTTAACTTTAGGTTGTTTTTTGCAACCTTCCAGATCTACCTGTCATTGGTATATACATTCTACAAAGCGTGCCTTGTCTTAGGTTGACTGGAGGCAAAAGGATTTTACCTGTCTTTGACTACCAGCTTCTGTTTATAAAGGGTCAAGGGAAAGTGTGTAGCTGGACGCCATGTATCTCTGAGCCAACTTTCTATCGAGAGTCCAGAAGAAACTTGAAAATCATAGGCAAGCAGATAGTGCCTAGCCATACACACGGGGTAAAGGGTAGCCAAGATGAAAGAGCCACTTTAAATTTGTTCAGGATTCCTCCAGCAGCTTCAGCTACATCAAAATCCAAATCTGCTTTTTTAAATCATCAAATCTAAAGACTCCTTAGCATCATGGCAAATTCCTCTCAGATGAGCTCTAACCTTTTTTTCCATCCAAAAACACTTTCATTGTGAACAGAAGAGGTTACAAACATCAACAGGTTAATACCATTATTCTAGTATGATTATTAACAATGGACACACAATTGCTTAAATTCTTATTCTCATAACTTTGATCCAATCATGGGACAAGAAAATGTTTTTGTGGTGGGTGAGGAATAAGTAACTCTGTAATTCTGAACCTTTTCTTTTCCCTCTCCTAAAATCCAATGCATTGCTGCTATCAACTTCCAAAGATACATTTGAGTTGTTCC